TAACTCCCAGAATTCCCCAGCCAGCATGAAGTTGGGAGTTGAAGTCCACACAACTTAAAGTGGCCAAGGTTGAGAAACACTGTGCTAGGAGAAAATGTGTACGTTTTCACGCAGACTATTTCAAAGCAAAATCACAGGGACTGAAGGAGGGTGGAGTAAAGTTAAAGTCAGAAAAGTGAGCAATGGAATGGACTCTAACTTCACTAAGCCATTCTTTTGTGATTTCATGACTTTAGAGCAACCAGTAATTATTGCAATTCAATCCTCTACCCACGGAGAGATCCCACAGAAGAGTAAGTCACTGTCTGCAAACGTTCTTGGAGCCAAACAACTATTGTGTCTACCTAAAATACTTGGTTTGCTCTCAACAACTGTTGGTTCAAAAATCCAGCTGGTGACCAGGAAGAAGTCAGGTGAGGGACTCATCCAGCTTTTGGGAAGCACCCACAACAGCCTGGCCGTCTTTGAACCTCTGCACAGGGCTCCCTGGACACAGCCTCCTGGGATACACATGAACTCAGATTTGAGGGTGGAGGCTCAGCCCTCAAAAGCTGCACCTTTCTAGGGTTTGCCAGAAAGATCTGAGACCACAGATTGAGGATGAGCCAGCCACGTGCTGCAGCTGCCAAAAAAGCCAATGCAGTTTTGGGCTGCAGCAATAGAAGGACGGTGTCAAGATCACAGGAAGTGCTCCCTGCTGCACCAGCCAGGACAGGCCACACAGTTCTGGGGGCCACAATACAAAAAGGATGCTGAGGAACTGGAAAGAGTGCAGAGAAGAACAGCAAGAGAAGATGGTGAGCAGCTTGGAGGCTCCATCCTACGAAGAGACATTAAAGGAACTTGGTGTGCTCAGCTTAAAGAGAAGGCGAGCAGTCTTCTGATACACGGAGGGATGTCACAGGGGGTAGATTTCTTCTCCCCACCCTTGGGGGCAAGACCAGACCCAGCGGGTGGAAGCCTCACAGTGAGAGGTCCCAAGTTGAACTAGGAGGAACTTCCTGACTGCGAGGGCTCTGGAGCAGGGGGACGGGCTGCCTCCTGGAGTCCTGGAGGTCTTCAAGGACAGAGTGGACAGCCACTTGTCCAGGATGGCCTGAGGGTTCCTGCACCAGGCAGGAGGTTGGGCTAGAAGACCTCCAAGGTCCCTTCCAGTTCTATGGTGTGGCGGAGGCCAACCTGGCATCTCTGAAAAAGAGGCCTCCGGTCCAGAAAAAGCAGCCAGGAGAAGGTGCAGAACGGAGTGACACGTCCCACACAAAAGCGCCGTTTCATTCTTTCTCGTCCTTCCCTCCTCGGGGCGGGCTATTGTTTCAGGTGCTCTTTGCATGTTGCTGTAAATCTGGGCTGCTGACGGGGGCCACCGTGATGTCAGGGACTCGTGACGCTGTCACTACACAAGTGACGCGAACAGTGGGATTTGCATCAGCCCAACACGCGACGAATGCAGATTCCATCACGGACATCACGCGCTGCAGCCCTTTCCCCGGAGGACCAGAGGACGGTGTCCCTTCCGCATCCGCGTTGGAAGCAGCCCGGCGTTTGCAGCAGATCCGTCTTGAATGGGGTTGGGGACAGACCCACAGAGTTTTGGAAGAGGAAGGGAGGGAGAAGGTTGGGGAAGGGGACAGGAGGGCCAAACGGCCTGGACACGTGGATGAGAGGGAGGGACGGTCCAAAGAGGTCATGGCTGAGGCTCACTGACTGACCTGAGACGACCAACCGGAAAAGGACGTCCGCAGCAGACAGGTTCCCTCAAAATGAGGGAGAGTGCACTGCGATCTTACGACGCGAGCACGGCCCTTGTGGACTGTTACGCAACACTGCAGTGCAGGTACAAGGGGCGGAGTTTGCACGGTGACATCACAGCACAAACGGCCTCGTTCACCCCCTCCCTGGGCCCCGCTCCACCCGAGGCTGCGTTCACACAACAGCACGCTGCCTCTGCTTCCTGCATTAACCCAGTTTCTGGGTTCACATCACGCACTGCACCCTCAACTTTCCAAGCAGGCTGGGTGTGCACAGCACCCAAACCAACCCGTGCAAAGGTGGCACTACCCAAATGAAGCATTTTGGGCAAATCCCCCTGCAAAGGCGTTCCTGGACTTCCTTAAGTGCGCCACAGGCTCACAGCCACATGGCTGGCTCCAGACGGCTGGCGTTATTTAAAATGGCTGGTTAAGACTGCTGGTGGTTGCTGGAAAAACCGCCCGAAAGATTCAGCTGACGCTCGCGCGTTCTGCCACCTGCTCCACCACGGGGGATCACAGGGAGCGAAGCATCGTCCCCACTGCCCTGTTACCTGCTGGTTTCTGAAGAGTTGGGTGGCCAGCTGGTCTCCGGAGGGTGTGCCATCTTGGCAGACATCGCCCTGGGAGGAGAACTGGCCTGCACGAAGCAAGAGGCAGAAGAAGTCAGAAGCCCGGTCCATACCCCCCATCGCCCCCCGTGCCGGCACAGGGCAGCCTCCATCTCACCCCCACTAGTGAGGGAGCCAGCCCGAAGCCACTGCTAGGGGCACGGTCCCCCCCCAAGCCCAAACCTTCCCATTTACCACTCATTCTGGGGGAGGGGAGGGGAGGGCAGGGGAGGATGGGTGTGGTCCCAGGTGTGCTTTGAGAGTACTCAGAAGCACGAGCAAGCCCCCTCCCCTTCAGTCACCGCCCTGCCTGACCCACAAGCCGTTTCTCTCCATTACGGTTTTGCCCATCACTCCGCCCCCTCCCCAAGAGTCTGAAACGTTTCTTTACCTAAAACCCGGCAGGCCCACTTCCCCTCCCAACGGTGTCCAGAAAATACTGAGGGATGCTGGCAGTTCCTTGCCAGATGTCCCGTACTTGTCTGTTTCAGTCCCCGTCTGTCAGCCTCACCAGGCAGGCCAGACCAGAAAATCCACGCCACGGAAAGGCTAAAACTCCCTCTACCGAGATGCGCCCTGAGGACCGAAGCTGGCCGGTCTGACCGGGCTGGGCCTTCTCCTCCTCGCTCTCCAGTGAATCAGGGGGGGTCTGTCTGAGCCGCTTCTGAACGTCTTCCGGCCGCTCTGGGCTTACAAAATGCTTCAGCCCCTTTTGGCCGGGCAGTGGTCCCTGCGGGTCTCCGTCAAGGTCTCCACACTGTCCCTCTCTCAGGAGGCCAGAGAGAGTCCGGTGGCTAGTCAGTTTCTCTTCTCCCCACCTGCAGACCACGCTGTTTCTCCCCACGCCTCGTTGTGCCCCCTCGTCTCACTTGGGAGATGCCCCAGTGGGCGTGGGAGCCAGCTCAGAGCAGCCCAGGCAGAGCCCAAAGACAGACCCCCCCCATTCCTGCTGCCCTCTGGATCGGTGGGCCTTCCCCCCTCCATGACTAGATGAAAGGGGAGGGGAACCAAGCCGGGGGAGACATGCAACGTCCTGGCCCGGCCGCCACTGACGGGCAGCCTCCCCATCCGGACAACCCATCTGGCAGAGACTGGAGCAGATGCAACGGAGGGCGGAGAGAGATCAGTGAGTGAGACCAGCAACGTTCTGCTGACTCACGGAAGGCTGGAGCGTGCTTGCAATCAGAGAGAGAGACTTGGAGCTGAAGTGCCTGCCCCAGCGGTGCCCTTCCTCGTGACTTTATTCCCCAAACGGAGGAAGGCAGGACTATGCTCACTAAGGGGGGACAGGGGGGAGAATCTAGGGTGCGGGGGGGGGGGTTAGTGGGTGCTGAAAGAGCAGCCGAAAGAAGAGGAGACTGAAGAACAGACAGATCACCTGCTGCAGAAAGCAGAAGCAGGAAGGGGCCCTCGGCTCAAGGGAGCGACTTGTCAGTCCAGAACCGAATAAGCTGAGGGGATTTTAAAGGCTGAGAGGAGGAAGAGGGAGAGCTGGGTGGGTGTGAACAGGATTTTGGAAGGGGTGTGCAATACAGTTGCATTCTTGCCACCCCAGCAGGTCACAGCACCTGTTGTCTGGACCTGGAAGCTAAGCAGAGTCAGCCCTGGTTTGTGTTTGGATGGGAGACCACGAGGAAATCTCAGGGCCACGTATTTGACTGGGAAGTTGAAGAAACGTCCTGGAAGACGGCAACAGGAAATACCTTTTGTTGTTGCCCACATCGTGAGCTAATTCCAGGGAGTCACCAGACTCTAGACTGCAAGCTCTGATGCTATGCAAGAGCTACCGTGGGGAGCGTTCTTGTGCTGGAATGGGAAATGTAAGGCTGGATTCACACAAGACGCTTCGCCTGGTTACTAGCTTTGTGTAGACTGGCCAGGATCTGTCGATGCGTTGCCTTGCGGAGGCACACTGCTGGGCCTTGAAAAACTGTCCTCATGAGCTTAGCCTCATTATGAATTAACCTTCTTCCTGGATTTCTACGATATTCTTAATTCTAAACTAACAATATGGGTTGGTTTTGCACTCCAAACCTAGTCAGGGTTAACATGAATCAGACGCGGGGGGGGGGGGCAAAAAAGGCCAGGGGGCAGGCACAAGTAGGCAGTCCAAGCCCTTTTCCTTCTTTACACGCATTCCATGTGCAGCGCACACACAGAAGGGGTGGGGCCTCAATCCCACAGCTGAAGTCACCGTTTTTACTTTTTTGGCCTCCCTGCAGATCAAAACTTGGTTCAGACTTCTGACCAACGGAAGGACTTGAGAACCAGCAGACCTTTGATTTTTAACATTCGTTGGAGCTGGTTTCTCTTCTAAAAGGCTGGATCAACTTACAGAAGAGCTGTATTAGCAAATATTAGTCATAATGTTCCTTATTCCAACATTCAAAAGATTATTATCGGCACAATGTGTTAAAAAAAACCCGTAATTAAAGTGTTTGCCTTTACAACGCCAACGTTTATCTTCATGATTATAGTATCAGAGTTTCATAAGATGTACGAGTTGGAAGAGATATTTTAAGTCAGTGTTGTCCAAACTTGGCCGCTTTAAGATGAGTGGACTTCAACTCCCAGAATTC